GCGGGAAGACCAATATGAATTGCCTCTTTTCTTCGGCGCTTGCCAGTTTTCATTTCGCCAGTTGTATCACTAGCCGCCTAGCGGTGACTCCCGCCGGTGAGTAGCAAAGGTTCCAACTTCCAAACCGGATTAGTTCAAAGATAGATCATTTGATTCTCAAAGGAAGGCACTGCCACTAGATGTTTACTCGATCACCGTCCAAAACGAACTCCCTATAATGATTTACGTTCGATTTTGTTGATAGTCCACAAGTGTGACACACATACTACCTAGCTCGGTGATTCCCAACCGCCAAATTTCAAGTAGTTGAAGTAACCCGGAACGCGAATGTTCTATGTACGCGGATACTAACAAATATTAATGCTAACGCTAATAACATAACATAACATAGTGAAGTCGGCGCTGAAGAGTAGGTCTGATGTGGCCTGTCGCCGATTCTTTACTTTTCGTGACTTGTTCACAGAAATCTGAAATTGTGATCTTTTCTTAACTTGGGGGAAACTAATGCTGGGATTTCTCCCGGCACACTCCCCGCTCGAAAATTCAGGGGGCGCATGCCGGAGGCCAGCTTTGCCACTTACTCCACACTTAGTTCATATTAGTACTCCACACTTAGTTCATATTCCTTTCCATAGGTAAGAACGCTAGAGTGCATAACGGCCTATGAAGTCAAGTGCTCAAAGCCACAGCGCCGGATGTCTACAGCCACAACTCAAGCTTGTCAAAGGTAAACATCGCCATACTCATACCGCATCTGGCCAAACCTCTTCAGGCCCAACATATACGAGCTGCAACCTTTCTTCACCCAAAAAACCTGAGAGGAAATAACTTAACCTCATTGGCTGCAAGAAGTTAGAGAGGCGGTCCAAGTGCTTTGGTAGAGCAAGTCATGGCCGCAATAAGGTTGTGAGCCGGGACAGCGTGAATAGGTTAGGCCGGATGGGGAACTGCCTGTTTATGAGCGAGCATGCTTAAGCAGTGGCTGAAAACCTACGGCGCTATTATCTTTCGGCAGTGTGTTGCTTGTCTGGGTTACGAAGTTCAAGCGTAGTCTGCGGCTTTCAGTTCTGAGGCTGAGTAAAGTTAATGCATGGTGAAGCTTGGCGTTGGCTCCAGGGCTTAAGAGTAAAATTTGTGGCCTACGGCTGCGCCCCCGAATTCAGTACGGTAGAGGGGGTATGCATGTGGGACATTCGCCGTTCATCAGTAGGACAAGCTCGGTCACAGGGCGAACAAATATTCTAAAGTTTACAGGGGGTGCCAACTGCCAACGCGGATAGTGACTGTTCGTACCCGTTCTTCGGCGCTGCGCTTCGTCTCCATCATCCGGTCAATCTGCCAGTGATTTATCTTCGTCATTAAATTTCACACCAGGACGACGTCTACAGATTTCAAGGAAGGCTTCTGATGCAGCCACTTTCTTCATGGCTGAAGATTTTGGAAGGCTGTGACCTTTGCGCCATCTGATTCAGAATTGATCAGCGAGATAATGGATTCTTCTCCAACATGTTTTTCCGTCGGCGAGAATGTCGCGTTCGGTGTAATCTTGACTCTGCACAAATAATTGTGTGCATGAGTGATTAAGAATGAAAAGATGCAAGAGTAACACATGAACACAGCATTGCTCGTGATAAATAGACATGACCTGAACCGTTATATAGTTAAAAAGAATGCGCGTGAGGATTATGATGAATGCGAAATGTATTATTCAATTTCTGAGCGCCTTGTTCGAGAAACTAACTTTGTGTTCTTATGTTCAACATTAATTAAATCATGCATCAGGTCTCATCATAATAATCTAGGCAACAATCTGCTACAAAAAAAATCCCGGCCGATAACGCGTCCGACGAAAAAAATTTCCGATATTAAAAAATGCGAGGCATGCGCACTATGTAGAACAGAATAAAAACTTAACGATAAATGTATTGATTTTGTTTGAAGAGATACTAGAGACTTCCGGACATACATATGGCTGCACGGGAGGACAGCAGACTAAACAGTTGACTCTGTTTTAATGGAATGTCAGAATGAGCATTAAAATGGAGCTCCCAATGCTGTGGCGTGTACGTCGTGGGAGTACCATCTTCGGATGCAAATCACAGCAATCATCCTACTGCATCACAAGATGCAGTCAGGCTACACCGTTTTTTCGGTGACGCTGAGCTGGAGACAGATGTGTATAAGAGACAGGCTTACAGTTCACTGAGTTCAGCGTACCACGCTACCAACTGGCAACTACCAAGATTGGTGCAGATAGGCGCAGGTTTGATCCCAGCTCTGTGCTAGTCTGGAAAAGTCCTATTTTCGTCTGAAATATCGCGGCTCTAATATCATATAATTTCAGTAGGTATGAAATCTCGCGGCTCGAATGTCATAAATTTTTGTTTGATTAAAAAATCGCGGTTTGCACTTCGCAAACATGTCATTTGCGAAGTGCAAATTGTCATAAAATTTTCAACTTCCGCAATCCGCATTGCTTTACCGTTTCCGCCAAAAATATCTTGCAGAAAAAACATAAACATCGTAATGTAAACAAATAAACAAAACGTTTGTTGAAGATCGCGCATAGNACAGTGTCAACCTGGAGCTCAATGTAAGAGGAACAACGTTGGGAATGGAAAAACATCCGAGAATCTTGGGAGTGACTTTTGATCCAAAGATGACCTACTCTGAACATGTAAGAAGCACTGCGAGCAAAGCGAAGAAAAACATCAACATATTAAAAGCCCTATCTGGAGCTGACTGGGGAAAGGACACGGAGACTATTGTGCAAACCTACAAGGCGCTGATACGTCCAGTTCTGGAGTATGGAAGTAGTATATGGGGTCCCATAACATCGGAAAGCAGCTGGCAGAAAATACAAACTGTTCAGAACTCTGCCCTGAGAATTGCCACAGGACACACACGCGACACCAACGCACAACATCTTCACGACGAAACATCTGTCCTGCCTCTGAAGAACCATGTGCAGATGACGGCCTCGCAACTGAGGGAGACGAGCAAACTGGAAGAACACCCACTGAGAAGTCTGATGAACCAAGAACCAATCAGACTCATGAAAAAGACCATATACAACAGCGAGTATAGCATAAAAGTGTATGACTGCAACAACAACAACAGTGATAGCAGCGTGGAGGTGAATAGAAACATGAAGACATGCATACCACCGCAGTCGAGAGATACCTAGAATCGAGAACACCCAAAAGGATTCTAAATGCACCTGCACCTAAAGTAAACGAAATAGAGAGGACTTTGGACCGAGGCATGAGGCGTACATTGGCGCAGTTAAGGGCGGGGAAATGCCCAATGCTTAGAGAATACCTCAATAAGATCGATGAGGCTAATTATCCAACACCATCATGCCCTCTGTGTCAAAACCACACCCACAACACACAACATCTGTTTGGGTGTGCTGAAATTCCAACCAGCCTGCAGCCTGAAGATCTATGGAATAAGCCAGTGGAAGTGTTCCAACTGATCAGAGTGTGGCAAGACCGGCTCGGCGCTCCGGAGGGGGGTGGGCCTGGGCGGCACTCAGTCGAGTGACGTTGTGGTGATCATCATCATCAGCATTAAAATGGAAAGAGAGGAAAATAATTGCAATAACTGGTCATAAAGATTTCCTGTCAGCGAATTGTACATGCAAATACCTCAAACTTAATACACAAGTTAAAAAAGTATTTATGTAAAGGATGGTAATCGCACATGACGATCTCCATCGGGATATTCATTCGTACATGAGCATAATCAGCTTACGATTATGTTGGGCAAATGCTAACAAATTCGCGTGCCGTCGTCGAGATGGACTCGGCACAGCTCGACTGTCAAACTGTTATAATTAATCACTTCATTTAAAGTAGGTCTAAGCAATTCATCCCTCTGAGAAAATAGTTCGGAAACCTGAAATATAAATTTCAAGATAGTGAAATATTTAAAAAGTATTGAGGTCCAGAAGAATGGAAACAGAGGGCTGATATTGAATTTCCACGGTGGAACAGGGCAGGAAAAATCAGTTAAATACGACTACACAAAATATAACTCAGTAGTACTCACTGCAGTGAGTGACAGGGAGCGCATTTTGTCGTCGACGAAAACGTGAAGTCACGGACGGACGGACAGACAGACAGACGGACGGACGGACGGATATGGTTAGCACAATAGCGCATTTTTTCCATAAAGGAGAAAATGCGCTAAAAACGGGCCGTGACTAGAACAATTATATTTACAAGGTTTACATTTTCGGAAACAATTAAAAACGAGTGATATTAAAAAATGCGAGGCAAGTGCACTATTTCGAACCGAATAAAGACTTAACGATAAATGTATTGATTTTGTTTGAAGAGATACTGGAAACTTCCGGACATACATATGGCTGCACGGGAGGACTGCAGACTAAACAGTTGACTCTGTTTTAATGGAATTTCAGAATGAGCATTAAAATGGAAAGCCAGGAAAATAATTGCAATAACTGGTCATAAAAATTTCCTGTCAGCGAATTGTACATGCAAATACCTCAAACTTAATACAGATGTTAAAAAGTATTTATGCAAAGGATGGTAATCGCACATGACGATCTCCATGGGGATATTCATTCGTACAAGAGCATAATCAGCTTACGATGATGTTGGGCAAATGCTAACAAATTCGCGTGCCGTCGTCGAGATGGACTCAGCACAGCTCGACTGTCAAACTGTTATAATTAATCACTTAATTTAAAATAGGTCCAAGCAATTCATCCCTCTGAGAAAATAGTTCGGAAACCCGAATGATAAATTTCAAGATAGAGAAATCTTTAAAAAGTATTGAGGTCCAGAAGAATGGAAACAGAGGGCTGATATTGAATTTCCACGGTGGAACAGGGCAGGAAAAATCAGTTAAATAAGAGTACAAAAAATATAACTCAGTACTCACTGCAGTGAGTGACAGAGAGCGCATTTTCTCGTCGACGAAAACGTGAAGTCACGGACGGACGAACGGACGGACGGACAGACGGACGGATATGGTTAGCACAATAGCGCATTTTTTCCATAATTGAGAAAATGCGCTAAAAGCGGGCCGCGACTAGAACAATTATATTTACAAGGTTTACATTTTCGGAAACAATTAAAAACGAGCAGCATCCGCCTATCGTGGAGATTGGTTAATATAAGAGCATTTAAATGCACGACAGCGATAACGTACGTCAAATAAGACCTTCATTTGTGGAACCTTCATTATAAAGTTTAATGTCATAACTGTAACATATACATAAGCTTGACGTCTCAACAATAACGCGCACATAAGCTCGACGCCCTAACAATAACGCATAGAAAGCTTGATGACGTAACGATAACGCACACATAAGCTTGCAAGCCGTAATGATAACACATACATAAGCTTGCAAGCCGTAATGATAACACATACATAAGCTTGACATCGTAATTATGAAGCAGAGGCAGCTTCATGACGAAACTTCGAGATTCTTTCAAAATGAATAAATAAATTTTTGGACACATATTACTCAGATCTAACATAGAACTAAATCATAAAAAGATGTTCATAAATCTCACAGATTAAATCACAGAACATAAAACAGGCAGTAGAGAGATGTCTTTTTAAGAAACCCGTTCCTTACGTAAATAAAATGAACGGTAAGTCTTTGAGATTAATTCTATCACAAAAAATAGTGATGAAATTCATCCTCTAACAAATAAAATAGCTAAATAAACCAGTGATCTACATACTAGAATACATGGCTAGGGTAAAAAAATACAAAAACGAACTTCGCGTTAGGACACGAGCGCGTTATCTGATGCGGAACTTTATAATATGTGACAAACTAACGGTAATTGGCACTCATCATGTCACTCAGAACGTTGGTAATATCGTACATATTTTCCTGTTTCAACATTGAGACCTTTAGGCTTTGTATCATCCAACCAGAACAGCCATGAGGATTGCTTAAAATTAATCACTGCTGCACCCTTCCGAGTAATTATGATTGAACATTCCGTTAACACATATTATCTTGACTAAACAAACTCAACATTATGGATACAATCAATTCATTATTATCCACTGAAAAAACGCAGACTCAGAAGGATTTGTGAATAGACATACAGTAAGCTAAGGCTCAACAGGTAGAGATTATATGCATCCAAGTAAACACAGTTGAACCACTGTAGAAAAACAGAAAATATACAGTAAAAGAGTACTATTCAAGATCAGGTCTTAACTTGGGTACAGTTTCCTGTCGCTCTTGTGCAGGTACAAAATCAATCAGAAAATTTACGATCGCCATTGCAAAAGCTTCGTGAGTTGAACCAGCCAAGTAAAGAACACTTGAGCCCGAATAACAGGACAGGTAACTGACACGAGAATAATTTCCAAACCACGGAACTAAACAAAAGTGCTCTCTAACTCAAATTTTACGAAAAACATCTGGACAGCTGTGGAAAATTAACATTTTTACCACGCAGTCCAACGTCATAAAAAAACTTGTTAATGCTTCATTTAATGCGACTAAAAATACTTTCGCAGGACGCGTTAGCGGTTAGACCATAAGTGTCTCATCCTTGGATTGGCGAGGTAGGGTATCAGCTTAATAGTCCACTAGAGGGGGTCACTAAAAGAAAATCTTATGAAGAAACAAACTGGCATAGCAGCAGAAATGCCGGCGAGTGACCGAAAACAGCCTTACACAATCACTCATTTCAATACACAATATGATTTGAGATTCTTCGAACTATTACATATTATAGCATACATGAGATTCCATTGATAATAACACGCCTGCATTGTAATTATCTGTTAGCATCGCACTTGGATGGCGTGTAGCGGCGTATTTGCGCGGCGGTGAGAGGTTTACACGAGCTGGTCATACCGCGTAAATGTAACATATTCCACAACTTGTACATCTGCAGAGGCTCCATTTCATGCCCCATAGAAGCGGTCTGGTAGAGACAAGGATTTGTTGGTCTAGTTTGGTAAGAGAAATCGATACTGTCCTGAGGCTTGACCCCGATCATTCGGGCTAAAATGCCCGTGATAAAAACGTCCTCGAGGTGGAAGAGCGGCGTGTGCATCCCGGCTGCAAGAAGCGGAGTCAACACGTTGCCTGACAAAACGTAGGAGGTGCCTGATACGTAATTAGGATAATGATCACCTTGATACATGTACCGAGGTGAGAACCATTTGCTTGTTGGGTTGAGAACAGGCCGAACGTAGCAGAAAAGACAACCCAGGATGAGCTTTTCTGAAGTGTCGTTAGCAAGTAAAGTTCTTTGTAAATTTGGCACGTGTAGAAAGACATCATCATCCACTTTAGCAACGTAATTGACGTCGGGACAATGATTCGTTATGTACTTGATCATGAAAAGGCTCTTCAGAGTCAAGTTTTGGTATGTATCAACAAAATCTTCGACAATGATATCCCCGTACACTTCTTGCTCGTTCATCAACGAAGCACTTACGCCAGACTCAGAATTTTCCCGACCCAAAATGAAGAAGAGTTTGCCTTTGAGTGTACGATTGAGTTCGGCAAAAGTAGAAAGCTGTACACGAGGCCCTGAACGGCCGCGCGTGTGATGCACTGAAGCTGTGGTGGCTGTCTTCGTTTCATCAGAAGCAGACTTTGCAGGTATGGGCAAGTTGTCCTTCATATCATGTTTACCATCAAGAGAAAAAAGCTCTCGAGTCATGCCTTGAGACGCGCCCCCAGCAGCCGAGACTTTACTATTCCTCAGAAGCGGACTCGGCTGGTCGAGGTAATCCTTCCTCACGACGTAGGTCGACTCTACATCCTTGTTGTCGAGGGTGTTCCACCCATCACTGAGTTGCAAAAGTTTTCTGGTGGTCGTCGCACTATCCACTTGACGGATCCACTGACCGTAAGTATTTCTGATAGCCTTGCGCCGTTGGCTGTTGCCTGGACTGCTTGGCACCACCACCACCAGGAACTCGTCTCCTGAGCATCCCTCGCGGGGCATCAATAGCGTTTGCTTCGCTGTAGACACGTAAGCTGACACGTTGCGGTCAGTGACGGTGGTCCACGGGAAGAAACCTGCAAAAGCAACATTTTTTATGAAGATGCTCAAAAAATATTAATGGTGCATGCTTCAAGCAAACTTAATTCTCATCAATTGTTTTTTTTGATAAATTTCGAAAGCAATAAGGATGTAACAGGTTTTTTGGCTTAGGATTGTGCTTTACTAAGGCATTATTACAACCACGAGAAAGAACCTACTAACTGGGAGGCTCAATAGAGACGCTGCTCATACGATGCCCTGCCATGTACATGATAATACAGACGACCACAGCCACGAGCAGCAGCAGCCGACTTGACCGCAGCCTGCCAAGCATCGCCTGCACAAAACAAAAGCGCTGTCACCACTTCATCTTGAATTGGCGTAAGGAAAAACTCTCACTTGCTTTTTAAGTATAACATAGGCTGTGTTGGTTCTAAATAACGCATAAACATCGTCCTTTTGTGCAGCTGCATGACTTGCCTAGTGCATTACTACTCCGGAAGCAAAATCCTCTTGACACTCTATGAAAGCAAACATACAAAATATCCAATTAAAAAACCTAATTAACGAAATAAGTTCAATACAGATGAGGGGATAAATTAAGAGGAAGGTAAATTCCAAGGCCAAATTTAACAGCAAGTGCCTGGTGTTGTTGATGTGAGTGGCTACCATCATCCCCATCAGCAATATGCAAGAATCGCATCTGTTCCAAATCTCTCATGACGATTGAAGTTTATGGTTGTAGCAAAGCTAGGTTTAACATTACCTTCTTTCACAAAGTTTGGGAAAAATATAACTAGTGGATAAATTTAATCATTTTACAGCAACTTTATCAATTACTTCCCCTCCCCTGATTGTTGAATTATAAAACTTCATGCGGACAACAATCATCACTGTAAGTAACAAGGAAAATAAGCAACAAAGTAGAGGGTTAAGGTTTGAGGCTAATCCTGAACTAAAGAGTATAATAGTAAACTGCACATATGTGAAATCAGAGTGCTCTAATGAAGCAATTTGTGATAAATGTTCAATATGCCAAGTTTTAATCCGCAAGATCTACTAGAAGCATACAATTTTTACAAAGTATGAAAGGATAGTCAAAATATGAGTAAGAAAAATATGTGCATAGACCTGAAGGAAGCAATGAAAAATTACACAAAAGGAGCCTATTGTCCTAGGTTCATGGAATCTGTCATGGCATAGCACAACAGATTGCACTATAAGCGATAGTTGAAATGCAAATTGCACCACACAAGAGGCACTAGCGTGCACGCAGTGATTACAAACCACCAATATTGCCAAGACATAACTTGCATCATAGTAATGAAGAGCAATGGAAATGGAAACTAGTCAAGTTTTTTATATCTACAAATTAAATATTACAAAAACAATATTCTGCTGATAACAAGTAAACTCATTGTATTACTAGAAGAGCATCTGAGTCAGCAGAATAAATTTGTCAAGATGGGTTCAACAGCACTGGTAACCTCAAGCTAAAACCATGAACATTAATTGCAGGCAGTCAAACGTTTTACAAACCTTCTGCAAGGCAACTCACTGCACCTATGCCCCTACAGCATGCAAGGCAACTCACTGTACCTATGCCCCTACAAGTCACAACAGAAAAATAGATGAAAAATAACTTCATCAGAAATAAGATTATTCAAGGATAAAAAATAATATCAATCCAAACTGATGTCTACAAAATGTACATAAAATATTTCAATCATTTTAAATAACTAATACAAAATCATTAAAGACTGAGACCCCAATTTTGTTATCAAAATTGTTATAACATTAAATGTTTTTAAAAATAGTTTTTTGGTTCCTCAGGGATAAAATTAATACAACATGACGTATAAAAATATATGACAGTTGACCATGGCTCTTACCTAGAACTAAATAAACTATATACTCCAAAAGTGGATACAAACATCTCATTGGGATAGTCTGAATCAAAATGCAAAAAAACTCACCAAGAAATTTGTTTCACCAGGGCTGTCCAATGGCTGAATTTTGCCACCAAATGAAGGAGGTGCAGAACAGTGAAGCTCCTTATATGGAACAGCAGTCCTTGCCTGGAACTTCTTACCTAACATAGCCTCAAATATGATGAACAGTTAAATTCATTAAGCTTCTTGTATATAGAATAATCTAAAATTAGTTAGGCAACCACTTTAGATGGAAATTTTTCAGCAAACTCATTTTCAGTGGTTTAAAATAGTTACCTGAAAATTTTAAAGAATTAAAAGGCATGCTTATTTATTATTTACTAACTAAAAAAGAACGTAGGTACTTCAATAATATCCAATTCTGGTCAACCGAGGCACTGATTTTGATGACTGGAAACAATTTCAAGCATTGGGAGTGCAGCCATGGACCAAAAAACTTAAACAAGCCCTGGCACCCATGCCTACCCTCATAATGCGATAACTATACTCAGCCACAGAGCCAAGAAGCACTAGGTAACTGACTTATCTCACCACTCCAACTCTAAGTCAGCATGGTCCAGAGTCAGCACTGGTCTTACTCCACAGAATTTTACCCCACACTATAAGTTATCATTTGAGCCAGAAGCCTTACTATCTGCAGACCACACCGGATCATCATAAACCTGCTCTGCTCAACACTTGACTGGCATAATCCAGCCACACTCCACGGACAGAAGTGCATCTGGCCCAACTAATTCCACCATGCCCCAGCTCTCTGCCTTCTACACCCAGAAGGCTTTTCTTGCTCACTGATCAGTTTTGAGCGAGGCACTATGGATAGAAGATCTGCATGAATTGCTCTCTAGGCAGCTTGTCTGCGAGCATTATTTATGCATGTGAGGCTGTTGGAAATTGATTCAGCATGATACTTTATTTATGCTGATGCATTAATGGAAGGCAAACATATATTATCCTTTAGTGGTTCACTCAAATGGCTGCTTCAAAGAATGCTGAGCATTTAGAACTGCTAGAAGAAACATGAAAATCTAGCATCTATTAAGGGGAGCATCTGGGTCAAAAATTGCATTTATCAATTATTCCTGTTTTAATGCTCATCTTAAAGCTGACATTCAGACCTATCCAACAGTACCAAAATCATCTCTGTACATTGATTTATGCGTTCACGACAGATTTCGGAGAGGTTAGGTGTTGTGGAGCTCTTTCACATTACATTACAGGGAAAATTAGTGGCGAGGGCACATAACAATAACGTCTGGATGCTGCACTTCAGTTACCCAGTAGCTGTCATGCAGGAAGGTGCTCATGCAGATGCAGTCATTACTCATTCCCTCCATCTGTGACTGAATTTGAGCTCAAGTAATGCCTTGACTGGTATCCTTGCACCTTAAAATTAAATGCCTTTATATAGCACGCTGCAGGGAGCTTGGGGCTTTGTCGCACTCTTCTGAACATCACAGTGATCACACCTATTGTCACTGGGAAGTGAGAATTTATCTTCTCCTACAGTTTAGCAGCTACAGAATTGAGATATACTATTAGATGTGCAAATAAAAGATCTAGAGGATGGTCATAGCTTTTTTTCAATTTTGTTGTATTTTTTAAAATATTTTGAAAAAAGGAGTGGGCGTGGGGGGAAAAATTGAAAAATTCGCAAAACCCCCCTCCCCACCCACAAAAATTAGAATTTCAAAAAAGCTATGACCAATCGATAGATATGGTTTTTATGCATCGAATGATGTGAGTCTCGTCAGTCTCAATGTTGTAGCTAAAAAATCCTACCTAGGAGTTTTCTGTGGACTGTGGTGCACACTTTTTGGCCATTTTCTAAGAATTCCACATTTTCTTCCATTTTTTTTGAAAAATTGACATGAATAAAAGCCATCTATTTTTCTGTCTTAAATATGTGTAGGTATAATAAGTTTTAAAGTGATCCGTCTGTAAATAATCAAATTAAAATTTGACCCAGATGTTCCCCTTAAGGGGACCGCCCTAGCATACGAAAACTTCTACAGGTATTATCCGATTGTCATGAAACTTCACATACATACGTAAAATGTAAAAAAAAATTTTGCTCCTATGAATTTTTCGAAAAAATTGATAGAAAATGTGAAATTCATAGAAAACAGCTAAAAAGGGGTACTTTAGAAAATCTATCTCCTCCCACAAATATCATCCTACAACATCGAGACACGTATCAATCGATTCGTAAAGACCATATCTATTGACTCTAACATCACTTTTTTCATTTTCCATCTAGTTTTTTTTATTGCATTTTTTCTATTTTTCCCATTTTTTTCTCATTTTTCACCCCTCCCCCCCCTTCTCCCCCATATAAAAAACGAACCAGACCAAAATTCAAAAAAGTGATGTTAGAGTCGATAGGCCTGGTCTTTACGAATCGAATGGTATATTTCTCATTGCTGTAGCTTGAAAACTGTAGGAGGAGATAGATTTGCCGTGAGAGCAGTATGAGGTTTTCAGTACAGCCAAAAGACTGCCCGCGCGGCACTTAAATAGACATAAAAGAGTCACAACGCAGCCAAGATACCGTAACTTAGCCTTAAACCATTCAAGAAGGTATGGAGCAACTGGCTGCACACCTTTCACGTCGCTGTCATGATGGGCACTGAGAGGTTTGGCTTCAGCTCGCAGTTTTAGTAGTCACGCCCCGTAATTAGTGCCTTAGGAATTACTTAAGGCCGCCCCACCCCCACCCCCCCCCCGTTCTATGGGGCGTGGTGCAGTAGAAAATGGAGGTACAAAGATGGGTGTACCACCAATCAATGCGTAAGAAAGTGCTCTTTCAAACAAGACTATGCCCACTTTAGTGCCATGATTGGCTGCTTAATGCCAGGCCTTCCTTTGTGGAGTGACCAGCGCATCATTTATCCTCGTAGAATTTTGTTAAGGGACCTAAAACCCGCCTCCCTTTGAGGAGCTGTCACAAAGTCATTTTTCGACGTACAGGGACGATACTTATACCGTTCGATGCGTAAGAAAACAACCTTTAAGATGAGATAAGAAACAGAAAAACTCAAAATTTTCAAATTTTAGCTAGGGCGGTCCCCTTAACAATTTTAGGAGAATAAGAACTGCAAGCTGTTCAGCTTTCTCTATTGATTGGAATGACATGTTAATCATTAGTTTGTTTTGAGCAGTCACCAAAAATTTGCTTACAATACACAAAATACAGTACACGCCCAGGGCGCAGAAGGTGGAAGCAGCGTCGCCAATATATGGGTTTTTGAGCCCAAAGCGTCGCCGACCATTTTTAAGATGCGTCGCCAGGTAATTTATAATGAAAAGCCATATACGCTGAGTAATGATAAACTATTTACAAGCCACAAACTTATTTACAAGGTTGCATGCACGTATTACCCCAAATAACTAATTTTACCCTAAAAACAGTCCAATTGTACAGCAAGTGTCAACTGAACATGTGATAATGCAGTCTGACCACTCTAATGTGACTGCAACTATGTAATTGTAAACTTGATGTTTACATTTTTTTGGCGGGAACTCATCACAACTGATTTCTGGACAAGCTTCTCTCAGTTCTCTGCATCCTGATCCATCCAACACGCTGGAAACCTTACTTTTTCTAAATAGTTGGCCGAAGACTAACAACTATATTAAATGCAAGAATTTCAATCTAAATGTGTTGGCAAGATCTTCTGAAGGCATAAATTTTGCTTCTGAAGCGTCACCAAAGATCTTGCAATATTCATCCATGATCCACTCTCTGCACAGTGGCCAGTGGGTACACGCTGTTGAGACTTGACCAGGTTGAGACTACACACACGCTGACATGCTGGTACCAGACTACCAGCTACTCAATGCCTCATCTCTGGTGTTGTTGTTAGTGGCAAGGAACTGCCGTTTGGCAGTGCCCCAGCAAAGGTGGTGGCTCCTGTCCTGGGGACTGGGGAGGAGGGAGTGGAGCCTCCACTGAGACTGAGTGGAGGAAGGTCTGGAGGTTCCACTCCAAGGGTGTCAGAGAAGGATGGGAGTGATGAGAGGAATGCCGCAGTCAATCCAGGACTCCATGGTTAGATCAGAGGTCCAGTGGCGTGGGGTTAACAAGCCTAAGCAAGGTGGGGTGCAATGGGCACTTTGGGCAGCAGTCGCAGCACACAGCAGAAGCAGAAGAGGTGATGGCCAATGGGTGGTGACGTGGTGTGATTCATCTCTGGTCACTCTGGTGTAGCATGTGTGTGTCTCACCCAAGACACCTATTGTTATATGTAGGCTACCATTGTCCATTTGCATGTCAACAATCTGTATTTGTTTAAAAAAATTGTTTGTGACTTTGTGTATGTAGATTGTAGACAGGTAACTGGGTAATCATGCAAGATCTAAAAGTAATGAGCCAAAAAAAAAGACAAAAAATTAAGTATCAGACAATAAATAAATTAGAAAAGCTAAATAGAACGTATCACATATGAATATGTTATTTGCTACAAATAAGGCCCATAATAAAATAATTATCGGATGTCAAGTGATAGAAGTGAAATGACTAAAGTCTCTCCAAATTATCAGGGAAAACGAATGATTGGCGTAGAGTAGGTACCTACCCTAACAACCAAACAGCCAAAGCCTTAAAGGCACACGTCCATCCGATAGCAGAACCCGTAATGGAATAACTGAATCCCCCTACGGCGGCCCCTAGGCAGAGCAATAAGCCCATCAACATAGGGGGCGGACATGGTTGAACTTATGAACTAGTAAAACTGAATTGAAAGGCGGAACTTCTCGTGGGTCAACCTTATACAGTATAAGCATGGGTCAACCTTATATTGTTCTTCTTCTTCTTCTTGTTACTTCTTATAGGAGCACTGGAAACTGGTCCATTTAGCCCCTTGCCTAAACAGTTTTTGGTTTATGCCTATCATTTAGTAACAATCTAAGTATCTAATAATCTGAAAGAATCTGCAAGAAAAAAAACACACACACACACACACACACAAAACAAGAAAAAAATACAAATAAAAAATAAAAATAATAATCAATTAAAAAAAATTAAAAAAAAGTAAAAAGTAAAAAAAATACAATAAAAATAATAATAATAATAATAAAAATAAATAAAACAAATAAATAAAATAGAAAAATAAATTAAAATATTAATAAAACTGTAATAAAATCAAAAATAAATCAATAAAAATACAGAAAAGGAGAAAAAGGAAAGAGAATGGGAAATGAGAAAGAAAAGGGGAAAAAAAAGAGAGAAAGGGAGGGCAGAACAAAGGCTGTCTCTTATACACATCTAGATGTGTATAA